TTGTGGCTCAGTCTAGCCGGGGAGGATGGGGGCCGCTGCGGGGTGGGGGGCTGTGGGGAAGAGTTCCTGTAGGCTCAGGGAATTTGGGAGGCGGGTTCTGGGGTGGACTAGAATGGGGTTGTTCTAGTTGTTGGACATGTCCCTCTGACCCTGCTGATTGAACTTTTCTTCCATATGGTGAGTTATCAGCAGTAAGAAAGCGAAAACGGGGCCTTTAAGAAAGGGCACAGGTGGAGCCCTCTTTGCCCAAAGGGCCTCCGTACTGCTGGAGGACAAGACTTGGGTTAACTCATCTCTGTTACCCTAGTCTCCTTTCACATTTGTCCCACCCCCACCCCCTCACCCAGCACAACACCCAGGGTCCCACATAAACCTTCACACCTGTGAAGGGGCCTCTGCTTTGGCACTTAATACACTTTTCTAATGATTCTCAGACTTACAGAAACATGGCAAGTACAGTACCAAGAACGGTTTTTGATCTGAACTACTTAGGGTGGTAAATTGTTAACCTGACATCTTTTCACCTCTGAAGATTATATTGTCTACAGACAAGGACATTTCCTAAATAACTACAGTGCAACCATCAAAATCAGGAAATTAACATCGATACATTACTGCCATGAAATTCTCACGTCCCATTTAAGTTCACCATGGTCTCCATAATGTTTTCGTTTGCTGTCTTTAGTTTTTGTGATAGGGCGTGTGGGCCCAACAAAGAGAGAGAGAGAGAAATCACCTCCCTCGGGGTCCCAGAATGCCTTCTCCTTCACCTTCCTCTCAGGATTTTGGGGAAACACATGATGTGATTTTCAAGCCAATGGGTTTGGGACTCAAGTGGTGCAGTTAACCATGTGGGATCCAGCTGCCTTAACCTCCACATCACCTGCTGGCCCTCAATAATGTTTGTATGGCGATCAGCAGATGGCATAATGGTTGCGTCGCTGGACACCCACGTAGTCGACAGCAGTTCCAGTCTTGGACTGGCACCTTAAAACTCATGCAAGTCACATGTGTACATGCCCATAATCTCAAGAGGAGAATGGAGAAGTGATTGTGGTGGGGCCACTCCCCCCAGGGGGGGGTGATTTCACTCTTTCTCCAGCAAGTGCAAATACCCTATAGCACAAATCTCTCTTTCAAAAAGAAAAATGGTTTTATAGCAAAAAGATCTTGTTAAAAATCATGTAGAGGAGCCAGCAGGTGGTGTGGGGGTTAAGGTGCTGGACTCCCATGTGACCCACCACAATACAAATCCTGTATCTGGGAGCTTGAAACTAACCTGGGCACACCTGTGCCCACCCAAAATCCCAGGAGGAGAATGGAGGGAAAGGGATTGTGGCCGTGGCCATACCCCCTGGGGTGGGGTGATTTCTCACTTTTACTCTCACCGTCTCTCTGTGCCTCTCTGGTGAGCACATATGCCCTACAGCAAAACAAAACAAAACAAAAACATGTGGAATGTAGCTGTCATAGCTCTTCCATAGCTACTTTCCTTGACTCAACCTAATGGCTTTTGGGTTGAATTGTTCAGGAAAGGAAAAGAAAATGGAAGAAACAGACTTAATTGTCTAG